TTTTTACTGCATTTAGAGCTATCGTCTTGGTTTGGTTCTGTTCACCGTTCTTTAACATTTGTAGTTCCATCTCATGCTCTCGCAGCTTTCCAAATAGAGTAACAATATTCATTTCTGTGAGATTCTTTGATTTTGTAATAGAAGTGACCTTTGGTTGCCAATTTCTGTCTAAGGATTTCAAGATCTTTGTGTTCAACTTCTCATTGTCAAAACTCTTTCCTAATGCTTTCAAGTGATTTACTATATGTGTGAAACGTGTCTGGAAATTCGTGATGTTTTGCATTTGAAACAATTCATACTCCTGGATGAGTGTGTTCTTACGTGCTCGCTTTACTTCATTTGTTCCTTCATGTGTCACTTCAAAAGTGTCTCATATTTCTTTTATCGTCTTGCATTGTGAGACCCTGAAAAATTCATTACGAGTTAAGGCAGAAACAATAATGTTTCAAGCTCTTACATCATAATAGGCACGTTTGTTTTCATCTGACATCCATTAGTCAAAAGTTTTTGGAACAACTCCAGAATCTATTGTTTTCATCAGAATATAGGGACCATTGAGTACAACATCCCAAACATCGTAATCTAGTGTTTGTAAAAATATTTTCATTCTCGCCTTCCAAATCTGATAGTTTTCTCCTTCAAATAATGGTGGTTTGTTTATTGAGGCTCCTTCCTTGTAAACCTGATTCTGCATAGACATCTTGACAGATCATTTAGAAATAATTTATCTAACTAAGTTATGATACCACTTGTTAGACAAATGGTATCTAGATGGGGATGAATAGATGAACAAATTAAAATAGATGTCAAATTAAAAATTTATTTTAAGATGTCCAATAATTTATTAATTCAATTTTAATTATCAGATAAAATATAGATAAAAAAGTAATATAATCAGATAGATAAAGAGAAAGATTCAAGCATGGAGATATAGGATGTGGTGTTGTTAAAGAGATAAAGGCAAGAGAAGAGCACATAGTAATTTATACTGGTTCGGGTATAGCCAACCCTACATCCAGTTCCCAGTCAACTCTAATCACAAGAGTGACTCCTAATTCACTATCTTTAAAATTCAGTTTACAAATTACAATCAACTCAGTAGAGGAACCAGTAAAAAAGTAAACTAATTAAAAAGACAATCATCTCCTTAAAAACTCATTAAGGATGAACACCTCCCTAGAATCCCACTAGGGATGAACACCTCCTCTGAACAAATCAAAGAATGAAAAACACATTTTTTGCAACCAATACATAAAGGATGAACACCTCCTTGAACAAATCAAAGGGATGAAAACACCTCCTTAGAATCCCACCAAGGATGAACACCTCCCCTGAACAAATCAAGGGATGAACAATAATTACTTAAACCCTAAAAAGAGGATTTAACAGCAATCACTTAAACCCTAAATAGAGAATTTAACGACAATCACCTAAACCCTAAACAGGGAATTTAACATCAATTTTCTAAACCCTAAAAAGGATGAAGGCAATGAAATAAGAATAATCACACCTGGGTAATGGAGACAACAAATTGTAGAAGCCTGTAGAATGCCAACCTCCAAGAACAAGTGTGATTAAAAATGAAAATGCAGAAGGCAGTAGAGAAAAGGGTTTTCTCAGAAGGTGTAAAACATCTTTGTTGCCTTGCTCAGAATTCTTTTCTCAAAACTGATTGAATGTAAATTGTATTTTCAAATTCTATAATTGTGTATTTTTTATTTTTCATCAAAACTCATTTAAATAGGAAAATAGCATCATAAAATAATCGGTCATTAATAATTTCGTAAAGAAAAATCAAGATGTATCCAAAAACATTTATTCTTCAAAGACGGATATATTTTTCAAATTTAAACTGTCATAATCGATTATGACAAAGAGAAAATCGTTTTTCCATTTCTGATGCATTATAATTGATTATGACAGTGAAAAATGTCATGTTATGAAAATTTATCACATTTGTGTTTTGGAAGCTTATGCATAATACCACTTCATCAACTTGTACCTCCATATCCAGTATTCTAAGACTCTATCTAGTCTTCAGGAGTTATATTGGACTTGCTTGATGTTTGAATGGAATTTTTATCAAAATCATATATTTGGCTTGCTTGAGTTTTGAATGTTGTTGACTTGAATCATTATCAAAATCATCTCTTGGGAATGTAGGAACATGTTTCACATTTCCATCAATCTCTCCCTCAATGCTTTCAATCCCTCCTAGGGATTGTAAGTGCATCACTTATCCTTGTCATTTGTTCGGCTAGCCTTTGAAAACTATTAGTATTTATTTGTACTAATGGATTTAAAATAACAGTCATATGTTGAGATAACATATTAACCATTTCATGATTACTATCATCTATTTGTTATCTTATAACCCCTAACATGTTAGAGGATATTCCAGTGTTTGCATTATTAGAATCACATTGACCATTTTAGGTATTCCCCGTACCAGTATTCCTCAATTTGGAGTGATCTTGACTTCGATCATTCATCCTATTAAAACCTGGAGTTGGTTGCCATGGTGGCATTTCCCAGGGATATCTTTTTGTTGTCGAAGTCCCTTGATTATTTTTATGGATTGATGTGTTTCCACTATTCATATATGATCATCTACTAGTATTTTGTGTTGGTTGAGTAGGTTCCTGACCACTTTGATTTCCTTTACCCTGAACCATTTCACTTTCGCTCACATTTTGACTCTCATTAGTATTAACACTAGGTATTACCATAGAGTTTGGTACTAAAGTTTGTGAATTTGGATTTGTCATAATGACTCTACCACTTCTTAATATCATGCACTATTGTAACGAATGTGTTCCACTAGATGTGTCAATTTGTTTCTAGTATAAATAATTCGTTGTTCGATATAATTAATACAATTTACGCATTGAATTACTTAAACATTATGTGGATTCTTCTAATTTCACTCAAAGTTCACTACACAGTAGATTTCAATAAAAGATTGTTCGTATTCAATTTTTATATTTAATACAATCCGAAACATTTAAGATAACTTACAAGAATAATAAAAGAACTGTAAAAGTAAATTAAAAACAAATAAATGTGCAGAAAATTAAATAGCATAAAAATAAATATAATCCATTATCAAGGATAAAACATAAATTGATAGAAAAAATCAACTAAAGTGGCGATCCAAAGTGCAAAAAACTCCATTAAAAATGTTTGTTCTCAATTCACGGTGTTTTTCGAACGTAAGTTGTACAATTTGACAATCACTTCAATTACCTTTATTTTATCCTATATATATTATTTTTTTGTAACCACTAAAGTAATCATGAAAATAATAAAAAATAAAAATTACAAATTAAAATCTTTCAAATGGTTATTCTCTCTTAACTGTTTCACCTTATTTATACACGTTCACTTGTAACTTGCACATTCTACGAAACTTATTTCTTAATCGCCTTCATCAATCTTTCGATGCATTACTAAAAAAAAATCTTTCTCTATAACTTCTTCTCGAAATATTCATGTCTACTTTTTTCACTCTTTAAATATTCGCTTTCTAAATTTTTTATGTTTTTCTCTTGTAATTCTTTGATTCTCACTTTGTTGTTATTCTGTTTTTCTCGAAAAATTGAATCTTTACTACTCTTCTACCTTGATATGTCATTCTTAATTTATGTTTTCATACTTTCTAACTATTCGATCTCTAAATCAAACTCAATTTATTCTTTTGATTTTTTTTTTATTTAGACTTAAGAATATTACTTTGCAAATTTTCAAAATTTTGTTAATCTGAACTACATTTTTTTTGGCTTCTTTGGTCATTCATCATATGCAAATGAAGAATGATTGTGCTGTGGGTGTGATGGTTCTTTGCTTTAGGTGGGAGATAAAGCATCTTATGCTTAAAAAGAGCACACTTTTCTTTTTGGTACAAATTTGACAAATCGAATCTTAATTCAATTTCTTAGCTCACTCCAACCCAAGTAAGCAGTGAAAGAAAGTCATTGGACATAGGTGAGGTCTTTAAATAATGCAATTACGTTGAATCAAATACATGGTGTTGAAGCTTTGGAAGGAGAGACAAGCAAAAATGAAGAAGTGTTGTGTAGTTGACAAGAACAGTCAAATACCAGCACATCCATACATTTATTAATTCCAACGGAGACATGTAATCAATCATGAAACCACTTTTTAATTCTGGGGTTAGTGAGACTCGAACACAACACCGCATAATATAAAAAAAATGTAATTATTTAAATTGATTTTACTATTTTGAATGATTGGTTTTCAGTGATTGATAAGAAAATTTCAATAATTATAAAACTAATTAATTGTTGAATTTACATATGAGTGAATATATTTTGAGAATCATAAATCGTATAATCTTTCTAACCACTCCCTTTTATTAATATAATAATCTAATAAAAATAAAAATAAAAAAATTATTATTATAATACTAAAAAAGAATTGTTTATAGGATTAGTATAAATTTGAGTTGGGAAAAGTATATTTTCTTTTATATATTTGCATATGCATTACATCTTTATTTTACAATTAGAATATATTACTTGTACATATTATTTTTTAGTGTTTTTTTATCTTTATATCTAAAGTTATAGATAGTAAAATATATTAAGCTTTGAAATGATCGAATGTTTGTATTAAAGCCTTAAATTTCACAATTTAAAAAAGAAATGTTTATTTAATAGTAGTAAAGAGTAAAGTGAGGATGAGAGACAAAGAGGAGAAGGTGTCAAAATGTGGTAATCTCAGTCTCTGCAGCTATATTTTATAGCCTCAAACGCGAATCTTCCATTCTGACATGCTACATTGCATTATCACAGTCTAGTTCCGTGAATTAGTCAGAGAAGAAGTAAACCCCTGATTAGGCTTTTTCTTCTTCCCCTGTTAACAACTCTCGCCGTTACACCTTCGGACGCAAACTCTCACCTTTCATTAAGCACTTTTAAAAGTACATAACTTTCGCCCCTCCCGAGACACCCATTACATCAATTTCCCGAATCCAATCCATGTCGGCCTCGTGCGGGGTGGTGGAGTGCGTCTTAGTGCTGGGCTGCGCGCGGTGGCTCTGGAAGCGCTGCACCTACGTCGGCAGCTACGATAGCGCCACTTGGACGGCCGCCACCGCCGACGAATTCGACTCCGTACCACGTGTCTGCCGCCTCATCCTCGCCAACTACGAGACCGATCTCCGAAATCCGAAGTACTACAAGCCCGCCTCCGGCTACCGCCTGAACCCGGACTGGGTCGTGAAGCGCGTGACTTACGAGGAAACTCTCGGCCAGGCGCCGCCCTACCTCATCTACCTCGACCACGAGCACAAGGAGATCGTGTTGGCGGTGCGTGGCCTCAACCTGGTCAATGAGAGTGACTACAAAGTCCTCCTTGATAACCGGTTGGGGCAGCAGATGTTCGACGGCGGGTACGTGCACCATGGCCTGCTGAAATCGGCGGTGTGGCTGCTGAATAGGGAGTCGGAGACGCTGAAGCAGTTGTGGTTGGATAACGGTCCGGAGTATGACATGGTGTTCGCGGGACATTCTTTGGGTTCTGGGGTGGTTTCGTTGTTGACGATTTTGGTTGTAAACCATAGGGACCGCTTGGGTGGGATTCCGAAGGAGAAGATTCGGTGTTATGCGGTTGCTCCTGCCAGGTGTATGTCCCTCAATTTGGCTGTCAAGTACGCCAATGTCATTCATTCTGTTGTTTTGCAGGTTACAATTTTCTTACCTACCCAATCAATGTTCTTTTTCTTCGTTGCTTTGGATGGTATTTTCTTTAGATGTATGGTGTTTTAAGGCAAAGTTTTAAACTTTTCGGTGGTATTTTACACCCAGTGTTAGTAATCTTATGACACTGTTTAGAAGCATAATTAACTGTTTGGTCCCTGTGTTATTGATTTTTGTATTCATTTACCATTAGGGCGACAAGTATTCTACTACTAAAGAATGAGTAAACTGTTACCGTAGTCCTTGATTTTGTGGGGTGCTATCGTATTTTCGGGACAAATTTTACTATTCTTCTTTGTGTTAGATTCTCCATAATCACGTTGAAGTACCCGTTAACCTGACGTTAGATAAATTTTTACATGTTAGGTTCTACGTTGAGTAATTGATTCTGAACACGTAATTGATCTTGAATTGAAGCAACTTTATAATAAAAACATTTAAGCATAAATTGTATCACTTTAAAATTAATTTTAATTAAAATCAATTCCATTCAAAATCAATTTTATCAATGCCCATTCATACACGTACCCAGGCTTCTTTGATGTGGTTTTCTCTCGACATAAATCCAAGAGGACCAAGACAGGATACCAAATATACGTTTAGTGAGACTGTAGGTAATAGAAACTTGTGATTTAATGGTTGAAATTACATGCGTGTAGGGCGATATGCGAATAAAATTAAATTGTAAAAATATATAAGGCAAGATGTACCTAATCTTTAAACAAAAGTGAAATTATTATTTCCCATCAGTCAGAATTTACTTTCCTTCGTCCTCATTAACCTGCTTTTTGTTCCTAAAATTATGTGGATTTGAAAATTCCCATTAATAATTTTTATTCAATTGTATGAACATGATACTGGTTCAAATTGTAATAGTTGATGTTTTCTATTTTTTTGGTGAAGGATGATTTCTTGCCAAGAACGCCCACTCCTTTGGAAGATATATTCAAATCTATATTCTGGTTGGTACTGCCCCTTCTGTGATATGAATATGGGAGCATTGGATTTCAACTTTCAAGCGCATATGATTTGCTTTTGATTTTTTGTTTTGTTTTATTATGGAGCATAGTAAAATATCATGATGACCTCTTAAATCAGGCCTTGATGATTTGAACAGTTTGCCCTGCTTATTGTTCTTGGTTTGCCTGAGAGACACCTTCATACCTGAGGGTAGAAAGCTTAGAGATCCAAGGAGACTTTATGCACCTGGACGAATGTACCATATTGTGGAGAGAAAATTTTGCAGGTATTGACTTGAAAATTGTTCTGTTCATAGTAAACTCATACAGAAGCATGAATATTGTGGGAATATTCATTATTATCTTGTACAGTTTGCTTGGTCTGGCACAAAAGTTAAAAAAGGTTCAGGCTAGTTGTTTTAATTCTTGTGAATCCTAGACAAAGAAATTTGACTTTACTAATATGAAAGATTGTATTATTGTGATTCTTTTAATTTCTCAAAAGGCAGTCATGTAGTATAAAACTCAAGTGCTGAAATGACTTGTTTAATATTGCTTGCTGGTAGCATGATTGATGAAAATTTCCCTTTTCTTCTTATGTCTAAGGAGTTATGTTAGAACAAGTAATACATTTCTGCAATTCTGCCTTTTTATTTGGTGTAAGCGTAAGGATTATCCTTTGATCACTATCCGTCTTCACCTTCCCCTATATTATTTATGGTTTGGTTAATTGGAGACGTCAACCTAGTATCTTTACTGAAAAAGTCATCCCGTAAGCTTCATTAGACGAGTGCAAGTTATTATTTTGTCTTGTGGAGTAGTATTGTTTTCATATTTTAGGGATTCTGAGTTTCTGATCATTTACAACTGCAAAACTAACTGAACCATGATCATTTTATGTAATCCTGTATGCTCCCTTCCCACTGTCTGAATATCCCCTTTGTTTTACCTTCTAAATTCTTTGACTAAACGAATTCAGTATTTCACAAATTTTAGCATGTTTTATAATCCCATAAATGAATATTTTTCCGGCCTAGATGAAATGAATAATTTCCGACACTGATGTTGGCTTGGGACAAGGAATACTTCTTTAAGTGTGACTGAGAAATCTTACTCGCCGTCAAATCTTGTCCTGAATTATTGCTACAAGTAATTTGTTGTTCCCGATAATGATGTTCATTGTTGCTTGGTGCACACAGATGTGGGAGATTTCCTCCTGAAGTGAGGACTGCTATACCTGTTGAAGGAAGATTTGAACATATTGTCTTGTCCTGTAATGCAACATCAGACCATGGAATTATTTGGATTGAAAGGGAGGCTGAGAAAGCCTTGCATGTAAGAAAATAATCACCCTTTGATTTTCTAGTTGCTTTCTTTGGAACATTGTTCTGTCATCTGAACTAGGAACAGAAGAACCCCTAAGTATACACAAGAAAAGAGCTAGAAATAGAAAACGTGGTTCTGTTTTTTGTCTGTGTTCTTTGAAGTTAACAACCAAATGTTACTGCAAGAATGTAATCAATGGATCATAGTAGGGTTGAAATTCTCATGTGGTTTTCTGCATGTAACGAATGTGTGACTGTTGTTGGTATTCCCTTTTAGCTAATGAAGGAGCAGAGCTCTGAAACTGTGACAGACCCTCCAAGGGTACAAAAGTTTGAGAGGTTGAAGACCATAGAGAAAGAACATAGAGATGCTTTAGAAAGGGCTGTTAGTTTAAACGTGCCTCATGCAGTGGAAAGTGCAGAGAAAGGAGCGTCAGAGAACAATGAAGGTGAAGAAGCATCGGGTAGTGGTGGAAGGTCAAACTGGGATGAGGTTGTTGAAAAACTCCTAAAGAAGAGTGAGACAGCAGAACCAAAGCAGGAAAGGGATACCAATGTCTCACAATAACATATTTCTATCCATTCATATATTCGCTTCTATTGTTATTTTAGGTATTCTTGAGTTTGTTATTTCATGATGTAAAAAGATAATTACAATTGCTTGGAACCGCGAGCGTATATACCTCAGGAATTACAGCTTGATTAGTCGAGGACTGCTTTTTAAAATGTGTTGGTTGGTTGGTCCTGAATGTACTTTTGTAGTAAATATGGATCAAGATCAATAATTTTTTTTCATCTGTTACGAAAGGTGAAGCAATTGAGTGGTGCATGCACCATTTGTGATGCAAGGTAATAGAACTTTTTTTGTTATCCCTAACGTTTTACTTATGAAACCGCTTAAACATTACAAGTATACTACTCAGAAAACAAGCACGACAAGCAAATGGAATGCATTATATTTAAAAAAACAATTAATTTAACTGATAGTACTGCGTTCTTTTTCTAAGATTATTTCCGACATTCATAAAACACTTACAAACAATAATGAACGTTTCACCAATTTCACTAACTGTCATTTAAAATATACAATGCATAAGCATATTTGATTAATTCATAAAAAATAGTATAGATACTTCTGATTTGGCTTTTTATTAAATAGCTGAGAGTAAGATCATAAAACAGGTACCCATTTTAATTTGTTTAGTTTCCCACAAAAAAAATAAGACAGGATAAACTATAATTATGAGGATAAACTATTTCATCATAATCAGAACTAATTTTAAAATTCAATCCATCTTGTTAAAAAATGAACTAGAGTAATAAATTAATTCGTCAATAATTTTTAATATAAAAATTTTTATATATATTTTTTAAAATATATTTTTACTTTTTAAGTTTTATTTATTAATTTTATTTTTAACAGATAAATCAAAAAATTATTATATTTATATTAAAATAACTAATTATATTTAATTTATTAATTTTTATAACTTAAATTATAATATTATAATATATTTATATATTATAATAACATATCATAAAAAATATAATTTTTTAAATTATAATTTTTTATTTTAATTTTAATATATAAATATCTTTTTAAAATAAATCAATATATCAACCTATCCTATCCCAACGTCAAATTAGTAAACTATAAATATAAGGCAAATTGGCTGATAAACTAAAATCATAATCTATCTCGTCATTCGGTCTTTCGAGCTGAATATAATATGATAATAATCGGTGCTCTTTATTAAGAGAACATTCTTTATGAGAACATTGGCTTCAGTGGCATCTATGTATTGTAGCTTTCATAAAAAGCAACGATCAACAATAATTTATAAGCTACGTAATTAATTTGTGATGGCATAAAATAGTGAATGAGCTATTTTCTTTTGAAAAGAGATGGGTGAGTATTTACAGAATTATCATTTTAAGGCGCATGCCCTTCACATCAGGTCAAATACATGCGCATAACAGCTAATTTTACGACACGTATTGTATTATTGCAAATTCATTATTAGTATATTGCTTACCTCAGCTACAAAAATTTAATAAAACTCAACAGGAAGACAATTGTAATTAGTAGTTGCAATGATATAATAAAATAATATACGCAAATCTATATCTGAGAACTTCAAAATCCCTAGGTTGATCATTCAGCCTAAAAAGACTTAAATGAGGTCAAATAGGATGCCATGTTTAAAAGCACCAAGCAGGAAGAGATTCAAAGTAACACCATCGAAACGAGCTTCTGTACAAGGAAGGAAGCAAATGATAATACAAAATAAATTGCCGCTTCCAAGATCTAAGAGATGTTCATGGCCTCGGCATGATAGGTCTCCAGTTCTTTGTCAAGTTCCTCTGCGGACTTCTCAACAGTGTCCTTTCTACCACGGCCTCGGCCTCCACCTCGACCACTGCCTCGACGACCTCCACCACGTCCACGTCCATTGTCACTCCTTGGGCCACCACTCCTGGTGCCACCACGACGCCCCCAACTGCATAAGAAATTTATGCATGAATATATGTCATAGATATAATAAGTTCATAAAAGGAAATGAACACATATTTGCTATATTTACTATTATTGCTTCTTTGTATATTGCAGCTAAATTGCATACACAAAACAAAACTCAACCGATCCAAGTGTTCATCACATCATAAAAAGAATAAAATTACACCGATGCATCTGTGTTAAAACAACCTGAAAACCTTAAAACATCATATTAAAGTGCAAGGTTAGACAGCAACTTAATGCAACAGTATTACCAAATGACGTTTTGACAAGATAATGATAACAACAAAAATAAAATAGCCTTGAACAGAGGAAGGAATTTCCCATGTAAATTTTCTCAGCGGGGAAGACTGTAGACAAGTTTGCTCAATTTGATCAAAACCAATTCCATGCACATTCCAGGTGATTCTAGATTACACCATCAGCTACAATTATGGCGAGTGATTCTTCACATGAACTTCTAATAATGTCTTAGAATACACAATAGCTAAACAATTTATTTTCTTCCTGCTAGAATTTTATTTCATTCCATAAAAAATAAAAAATAAAAACATAGCAAACGATTGTTCACGTGTACATCAGACATCAGACTGCTTACCAACAGCTTAATATTTACATTTCTTGGTTGAAGGATTAAGTAACATCAACTGATATATGAAAGAGATGTACGAAACAACAACTGAATTGTAAGTAAATAAAAAATAGGAAGAACGCTATCAAAACCTATAGCTTAAAATAAAGAACACGACAAAAACCTCTTGTACCTAATAGTGCATAAAGAGAACCTTAAACATAATACAAAGGATAAATGACCAAAATCTTCATATTAATGTGGTATCTTGCACAACGGCACATATAAAACAACTGACAGAAGTCCAATACATAAAACAGTAAAAGATTACACAGCAAACAATTTAAAATGCTTACCCAGTACCACGATTAGGTATAGCAGGACCTACAGCTTGTCCACCTCTAGGCCTGCAACACAGCCAAAACCCACAAACATCAGCAAACATATGAAACAGCATATATTATTTCCACAAAGACATGAAGGATTTGAGACAAAATTAGAACTGATAAATATTAGTAGTTAGTCAGGTGTCTGATATCAGAGGAGAAGTTAGCTAGTTAGTTAGGTTAACTGGATGAGCTAAGATAAAAAGTGAAATGGACATTACCCATACAGGGATCTTATCATCTGCAAAATGGTTAGACAATTCAAGTAGCGTTGGGAGAGTTCTGGACTATCAAAATCATGAAAATCATTTATTTTTTAACTCTAGCCCAGAGCAGTTACAAGATTGGCACCCAGCAATTAAAATTTAGGATCCAATTAAGTAAAAAATATTAAAAACAAAAACTACCGGAATTGGGAGAACTCAAATTTTGGACGAAGAATTAGACAACAAAATAAAAAACTAAGTTCTTGAGATAAGAATCACAGTGGCAGATGGATGGGTCCATTTAAGGTTGCAAAGAGTAAGCAAAATTTAAAGAAGCCCAATGACATGAGAGAAGCCTTGAACTGAATTGATGGGAAAAATGGAGGGGTTTTGGGTAGTATGACCAACCCACCATACAATTACATAAGGTTGACGTACTTGATAATCATAGCAGAAACCATGCACAGCACTGCGGAGCACAGGGAAGCGATAGGGATCCCAGTATATATTATCATTAGAGTATCTATGTTCTGTTTCATGGCCAAAAATTCCCACATACAAAGTAGAGAACTGAGGATAGGGGGCATTATCATGTTTGTGTCTGTCTTAGGAGGAGTGGAAGCTGTTATTGGAATGCCAGATGGAGCTTCTAAGGTGGAGTATTGATGGTTAGCTTTAGAAGTTAGTTAGATGTCTGTCAATTAGGGAATTACTTTCATCGTGCAGGATGAGATAGTAGACTATATAAGGCATGTGCATGTTGTCAACATAAACAGAAGGGAGTCGGAAGCATCCTGGTCTCTCTCAAATCTGCACCAATTCTAACTAACACTAAAGGGGAAAAAACAAAAAACAAAAAAACAGTTGCTCCATGTTTTGATCATGCAGAATTAACACCATATTTTCAGAATTTGAATCACTACTTACAAGACAGATGTAATGACAAGAAGACATACAGATATCCATGATATGGTAAAGCTTCAATATTTGATTGGGGATAGTGTTTGGACCAAATTTTATATATTGGTCTTCATAATAAGGAGAAAAAAAAAGTGATAGTAGTTAATTGGAGGAGCCCCAAATTTGAAGATAAGGAAACCAACATACAGGCAAATGCTTCCAAGGCAACTTACGTCATTACAACAGTCCTCTTCCTACGTCCATTCACCCCAGTGACATTGACCCGAGCACTCATAGGCAATTCTGCATTGGAACCAACAATCTCAATCTTCATGGGCTTTCCATCCAAAAGCACATTATTATATCGTTTAAGAGCAGCAAATGCATCACTTCTTCTAGTATAAACAACTTCAGCCGAACCCTGTTATACAATTAACCATAGATATCAAAATGTTAGCCAAAAAGACTGCTAAGCACAATACCAATTTCTGGAACTTAAGTTAAAATGGGGAATAAACCCAATTAATTTTTTGAATATTACAAATATCCCCCTCCAAGAATAAGCATTCACCATCATTAAGCTAAAATAAAATGGAAACAGAATATATAAAAGAAAAACCAATACTCACACTTGGATGTCCATTTTTGTCATAATGAACAGCATAGCGCTTCAACTCTCCAAGCTCAGAGAAAAGTTCCTGAGTTGCAAATCAAGTTACAAGAGAACTTCCACACAGATTGGTAGAAACAGCGACTAAGAAATAATCATATGATGATACAGCATAGTAAATACCCTTATGTCTTCATTGGTCACTCCATGGTCCAAGTTGGAAACATACAACTTGGTGCCAACTTCTACTCCTTGAATCCCTGCAGCTCTTAGGCTATCTTCAAACAAATCATGCTGCCATGGAAAGGGCCTAGTTCTGCGAATAGACTGGCCAAAGAACAGAACAGTTTCCATGGTGCAAAAGAACACATCAGATTATGACCAGAAAAAATCACCATTCTTCAAGAATAGTCAGAGCAGGAAAATCCCCATAAAAAAACAAAACAGGCTATTAACGAAGTTGATCTGACCATGGTAATATGTATTCAAAAGAGAACTCGTACTCAAACATCAATGTTCTAGGTGAAAGATGGTAAATGGGAGTAAGAATTCAACCCACTGCATATAAACCGGTGCTATGCTACTAGTGAGAGCTCCAGTTCTGATTCTAAGCGAAAAGCTCCTTTGCAAAATACCATGAATTAGGGAAGTATACTGAATTCTTGCACTGTAGAACCCAACTTAGCAAAAGGATCCAATAAAACACCAGCCAAACATTTAAAGTCATCTCAAGTAAATGAAATGGATTAGCATGGTTTAGAGAATTTAACCCCACTTATAGTTATATGATTTTTGTGCTACTGGTAAGAGCTCCATTTCAAAATTCACCTAATGAAGCTCCTTCACATAATATGTCAGGAATCACCAAAGAACTCCTGCACACATCAGGGATCTGTAGCAAAGCCCCCCAAAACAAAAGCAAACAACTCTTATGCGCATATTAATTGAGACATTATGGAACTATGACAAAGGCATTGATGATGCAAAATGATCGAGCATGAGCTTCTCCATGGAACAACTACTAAAGAAGCAGAATTCCACTTGCTTTTGAGTTACAATAATGCTGAATCGTCTCATAATTGGGATTTTTTTTTAGCAAATCAGATTCTCAAGCACATGTATAAGCATCCACGATTTTTGAGCTTGCCTTGGCAATAGCATATGATGATGGCCGGGTGTTAACCATAAGAGGACCTCTTCGAAGAGCACCAGATGTTCTTCCACCATTACCAGCGCCAGCCATTCTTCTACTATTAAGAGCACCAGCCATTCTTCCACCATTAAGAGCGCCACTTGGTCCACGGCCAGACTGGGCTCTGCCACGTCCTCCTCTACCTCTACCTCCTCTGTTACTCCTGTTCTTTATTCTATCATCAAGTGACATATCCAAGGAAGAAGCCATAATACAAGCTGCTTAACACAAGTCAAACGCTCCACAAAATTTTGATAATGATATAGCCCTGCAAAAACGAAGAAATAAGTTATACAAACACAACCCAGAACCTGATAAAATAAAACCTAGCAGATATTGAACAAAAAAGAACATCAGGACTAAGACAACCGATATTATAATTCATAAAACAATACTTTGGTTCAATTGTGTACTAGTGTGTTTTTAGGGTGGCGACACCTTAAAAAAACCCGTCCCGCTGGACATTCAACCAAATGCAACCTACTGTTGCTTCAACCTTTTCAGTTTATCACTGCTATTTTGCGGGCTGGAATGGAGTCTGGAAGCTCTATCCAAACAAAAACATCATGTGGCCAAAACTACATTTTTTTATTGTATAATAATTAAGCAGTCAACACCAGAACTGAATAACCAATTCCAACCAAACACGGCCAAAATAATTAAAGATCTCAAGACCACAATCTCTCACTAGCATATCTAATGAAACGACTCTGTACAATTAATTTTAAACTTCAACAATTGTTTCCGTAAAAAAGGTATCTCGTTAGTCGGAATCCGACTCCAAAATATAAAATCAAAGTTTTCATGGAAATTACCCTAAAAAAATGTGCTAAAAAATGAAACAGTGGAAAGATCTCGTTGGAGAAAACACTATCTATCATAACAGACACAACTGTTGAAACACAAAACAACCACACAAACAACAAAAACATAATTATGCAAAAAAAAAAAAAAATTACCTGGAGATGATAAGAGAAACGCGGGTAGAGAATTGTGAAGCGAAAATCAGAGTAAAGAGAAGAGAGTGCGATTGAATTTTTGGGGGGACGAAGGATCGATGAATAATATAAGCGGGGAGAGAAATTAGGGTTTGGTAGGAAATCGAGAGGAGAGAGCCAAGTGCGGGACAAATTGGGGTTTTAGGGTTTCAGCGTAAAGAGAGCCTTTGGGTTTAGAGATAGCTTAGAATCTCAGAAAAGAAAAAACCAGTTGGGTCATTTTAAAAAAGCTCTCAGGGGCTTTCTAGTCTTTTGATTTTCCTTTCGCTTAACTATCATACTTTTTTAAGAAAGATTCTCCTCATTTTCACGTCATATGACTATTTTTATTTAAAATATTTGTTATATATTATTTATTTTAACCTAATTTGAACCACCCAAATCATATTCTATGGACATGAACGTAAAATCAATTGTTATGATAAATAAATAAAACAATAAACTGCTCTAACAAAATTTTATGATTGATTGAAATGATAATTATTCATTAAATTTATAATATAATAATAATTATATTATTATATTTTAATTGTTAATGCAATTTAGTTCGATTTTATATTAAAAGATTATTTAAATAAAATATAAAATTTGAATATGATTTGATTTAATTTAATTTTTATTTTAAAATATTTAACTCAAAATATTTTAGGATTCAGTTAAATTTTTTTATTATTATTTTATTTATGAGTATTAATTCTATTAGGGAAACTTCACAACATCCCTCTCTCAAATTAAACATATTTTAAATGTGTAATATAAAAAGTAAAAATATAAATATAGAAAAGAGTGATAGAATGTGGAAAATAAAAGATAATATTTGTTATCCTATTGTGTGATGTAGGAGGGCACAGAAAAATATAAACATCATATACTTTATTTTATTCTACTAAGTAACGGGTGAAATGAATAAATATATTATCTGATGTCTCCATTTTCATATGAAACAACTTTAAGAGAGGCACATTTATATTAAAAAAAAAAACAATTTTCTTCCTAAAATTTTATCAAAAAATTATTAAAAAAAATAATACAAGCAACATCGTCCATGAAATAGTTATTCAACAAATATATTATTTTCTTCCCAAATGTTGAGTATCTAAACAAAAATAAAAACATAAATTTACTTGTTATTTAGAAATTAGGTATAATACATCATCAGTTTAAATCATTTTTACATTGCTTTATGATATCAATTAATATTTATAAAACAATATTTCAAAATTTTCAAATTATAATTTTTAATCCCTAATATTCATTTCAAGATAAGTCAATGATAATTAGGTTATAAATCGTCTTATTATTTTAGGCTTTAGATGCTCGTGTTAACATATGTTTACTTAATCTCTTTTTATATAAGCAATTAATTGCATATGATAATGGTTATGTCTAAGGTTTAGGGTATTAGTTTAAAATTTAAGGTTTAGGATTAAAGATTAGAATTTCAGTTAGAAATAATTTTTTATTTGTCTCATGTTGGTTATAATAGTATCATTAGAGTTAGTTATCATAATATTATCTATTTTGTAGCTTCAGTTGGTCAAAGTTTTGTTCTTCAAAGATGTTTCATAGAAATTTACTGTAACAATATTATTATGACAGACATGATATCGGGACAATTTCGTTCCTAGATCAATTCGGTATGTTGATAAATTTCAAATCACTTAGGAATTGAGGTTAATAGTAATTTATATATGCTTTCATCTCTTAATCCATCGAGGTAATTTTTAAAGACAAAATCATAATAAACTTTAGCTTCAATTTAATTAATATCTCGAATTGACCCTAAAAATATTATTATAATAAGAATGAATCTGAGACATTTGATTCCTAATTAAAATAATAATGAATATCAAAATTATTAATATTTAATTTTAAAATGCCTAAAGATAAATATTTTCTTACAAGGTTAAAATAAAAAAATATTAATTTTACCTACGCTGAAAACATATTTAAGTTTAATATATTATTAAAATCTCAATTTACACACAATACAAAAAAAAATTAATTTTTTATATGTATTTAAATAATAATTTTTAATTTTAAGAATATATATTTTATTTAAATTTGAATATCATACAATGACAATATTATATTTTTTTCTAATGTTATTTTATATGTTTTAATTGTTGGTTTTATTAATATTTATTTGATTATGAGTTAATCTTATTAATAGTACAGGTAAAGTTTTTAAAGTGTCATGTGTTTTTCGCATATTTTTCTAAGTAAAAAATCTTTTTCTCTTTTTTCATAAGTTTAACTTTTTTCTATGTGAAAAAATTGTCACTTATGCTTTATTTTGATTATGAAAATTTATTATATATAGTTGTTTACGTGCAAATTAGTTCATTTTTTTATTACAGGTGTGTTATTCTTATTGAAATGAATTAATATTATAAGATGAACTAGTTTATTACTAGGGATTTTTTTAGTTTAGAAAATATTTTCAATTATGTTTTGATTACAATCACTTAATTCTTGATTACACAGATAATTTAATAATTAATACAATGTCAACTTCAATTAGTGATATTTGATATATCAATTGAATTTCAATGAGTTCAACATTCAAAATAAAGTCAAAAAAAGATAAAACGAGTGAGCAAAGTAAATTGCAGGAAAGAAAGATAAAGATAAGGTTGCAAGAAATATATTGCAAGAAAGATAAAGATTACATTATGTCATTCTTGAACAACGTCAATATATTGAAAAGAACATAGTCAATATATGGAGAGACAAGCTGGTGGTTGAAATTGATCATGCTATTCTTTTTCAAACCTTTGGTTGCAGAAAACATGCAATAACCTTGTTTTAAGTATCAAAAAGTAAACACAAAAGCTAGATATTGGATCTTCTTTAAGTCACATACCAGAAAGCTTGATAATGACAATTTCTACAAGAACAAAGTTATCAAATGCATGCTTGACAACTCTTGTATAAAGTTCAATCCTGGTGAACATTTATTCTTCTTAGCTAAAATATCAAACCAACTCACCAAACTCACCTACTGCACAAACTAGAGCATTATTGCTTCTAATTATTCTAATAGATAGATAGACAGTACACATGCAGTTGTTTAGCATGGAAGATAATTGATTTTGACCTTACTATGACACCCATTTTTTCTTCCATTATTACATTTTAACTCATTAAAATCACTTGCTTCAGTGTGTATATAATTAACTCACTCACTAGATCACATGGAACCACACACCTACACTACATTGGTACTCCTTCATACTTATGAAAAAATCAATGAGTTATGTTATTTTTATTCATATTTTTTTATACTATTTCATCTATTTAATGGGTGTTTTCTTTTCTTCTATATCTTTCTTGAATAAAGTTATAAAAAATATGTTCTAGAATAGAATTTGTTAGGAGTAATGTTTGTTTATGACTTGTGTTGGTTTTTTAGGCAAAGAACTGAATAATTCAATTTTCAATATCAGAAACATTGCAATATTTAAAGCCTAAAAATAACTGACCACTAACAACACGATCCTAAATTTTCTCCATGATTACAAAACATGGAAAACTACTTCCTAAAAAACAGGAACAAACTTTGACATAATCAACTTAAAAAAATACGTGGACATGTTTCAGTCCTGAAGCACTCTTCCAACACTCCTCCTTGCTTTAGGAGCTGCAAACACCAAGTTTTGTTCTCAAGTCTTCAAATCTGCTCACTGGCAATGGCTTGGTGAAGATGTCAGCAACTTGTTCCTCTGTTCTGCAATAAATTAGCACAACATCTCCTTCTTTCTGCACTTCCCTCAAGAAGAAAAGCTTGATGTGGAAGTGCTTGGTCTTTCCGTGGAACACTGGATTGTGGGAGATGGCAATGGCAGCTTGGTTGTCAACAAGAATCTACGTGCTTTCCTTCTGCTTCAGATTAAGATCATTCAAGATTTTCTTCAGCCACAATGCTTGGTTAGCAGCTGTTGTGGCAGCAACAAACTCAGCTTCTGCAGTGGATTGAGCCACTGTTTCCTGCTTCTTAGAGCTCCATGAAAAAACACCAGATCCAAAAGTAAAACAGTAGCCTGAAGTGCTCCTCATATCATGAGTGGAACCTCCCCAGTCACTGTCAGAAAAACCAATCAGCTTGAACTCCATGCTCCTTGTGAACTTAATACCAAAATTACTTGTGCCTTTGACATATCGAATCACTCTTTTTGCAGCCTTGAGATGCAGTTCACTTGCACAATGCAT